CGCGGCGGGAGCCGCGGCGGCCCCTGCCAGGCTGGCCTCGACATCGCCGACCCGTCGCCGCTGCCAGGCCCCTTGGAGCGGCCATCGGCAGGGGCCGCAAATGTCGACGGGTCGCAGCGGTCACCCCTAGGATCACCCCTGCGGCACCGCTGTGAATTGAGGCGTCGACGTGGTGACGAGTGGAAACATCGAAAAACAACAAAAAAATGCTTCTGCGTGGCTGCTGGACGGGCACCGCGGGCGCCGGCCACTGCGGCGCTCAGGCCGTGGCGGGTTTCCTGTCGATTATCGCTTCGGGGAGTTCTGGCTGACAGCGGGAGCGCGGGGGCGCAGCGTTTCTCACCCAGCGTCGTTGGGGCTGCCACTGATACGTTTGTTCGAACATTGACGCTCGCTGCGGTAAACTTACGCGCGGCACCGCGTATGTACACAGATGCCGAGTGGTAAACATTTACTTTGCGCTCCACAAGCCAGCGTGCTCCGAGGGCGCTGACTTCAATTTCTGTCAACGTTGTGGCGTGTACCTTCGTCAGGCTGCGCCCATCAAGTCTGGTCTCTCGCCCTCGTGCTCGGGCGAGCGCATGGGCCATGGGCAGACCAAATTTAGCAAAATAATGCCAGGCCCCATCCTCGTAAGGACCTGAGGTCAGGCCGGCCCGAAGAGCACCAGTCTGCTTTCTGTGCCCCCCCCCCCTTCTCTCGAGCCCCCCCCTCATTCGGCGAGGTTAAAGATGGCGAAGACGACGGAGGTTCTCTCCGTCAAATGGCTGCCGCCTTTGCGGGGGAGCAGGTGGCCGCGAGAGATGCAGCGCTCGGCAGCGCCACCCTCTCGCCGAATGCTGCCCACCCAGCGCGGGCAGTTGCAGCAGCTAGCGGGGCTGCAAGCAGATATTTGTCGGAAGCGCAGGCTGTAAGGCCTGCTCCCGAATCTGCTTTCAAGAGTGACAGGCTTCGTCGTGTGGCAACCCTTCCCAGCTTGTGCGCGGCGTTGGCGGGCTTGCCGCGGAGTCTGCCGCCGCGCATGGCGCTGATGGGGACCTCGCCAGTCGACCTCATCTTAGAATCAACGAATCCTTTTTCAAACTGTGGCACCCCTGCTGCACGCGCTTCCTGTCAGGCTTGCCCTCGGAGCCTAGTAAGTCCTGCCCCGAACAAGTGTGCTAAAAAACTCCGAACAAGTGCGTGTTAAAACATCAAAGCACGTGCGATAAAAAAAAATCGTTATACGAAAAACTGCGAAAACAAACTGCGAAAACAAACTCCAGGCAGTGTGATGCAACAACTGCGAACAGGTGGGCAAGGCTCCCAAGCCTGTCCCCGCTCGCGCGGCAGCGGCTCCCCCGGGTTTCGGATAATTGCTCCGCTTGGGAAACTGACCCGCGCTCGAGCGCGCGAGGGGAATGCTCCTTGGGGAAGAGCAGGCGGCGCGCGAGGTCGGGCCGAATTCAAATGAATATGGCTAAGTGGCCTTATATGTGTGTATATATATATATATATTGCTCGGGCTATTCGGCTCAGTTCTTTTCAGTCTGTTCAGCCCCTGCTCTCAGAGGCTGTCAGCAACTCCTGCGCCTGCTGCCTCGCGCTCGGACAGCCTCACGGCTTGTCCGTTGGGTGCTCTCGCAATGCTCTTGGTCTGGCGGGGTGGTGGGGGTGGTGGTTCCTCCGTCGGGTGTTGTTTCAGGCTTTGGAGCGCAGGGGGGCGAGCCATTGGCATATCCATCTTGCCCCTCGTCCGAGGTGCAGGCTTGCTCACAACTGTCCTACCCACCTGCGCAGTGTCAGACAGGCCTTTCTTGATGAAGCGGTCGGCGGTGGCCCCGCCAGCCGGATGCAGAGAATCGCCCCGCAAGGAGGAGGCGGCGTCCCCCTGCTATATCTTGGCATGAGAGCGGATGTTAAACAATCCTCCTCCTCCTCTTCCTCCTTCTCCTCCTCCTCCTCCTCCTCCTTCTCCTCCTCCTCCTCCTCCTCCTCCTCCTCCTCCTCCTCCTCCTCCTCCCTTCCCCCTCCTCCCCTCCTCCTCCTCCTCCTCCTCCTCCTCCTCCTCCTCCTCCTCCTCCTCCTCCTCCTCCTCCTCCTCCTCCTCCCCCTCGTCGTCCTCCTCCATGCCCACGCTGCGGGCAAGAACACGAATCTCTTTACCATCGGGCCTGGTCTTGCCCATGTAATTCCGTGTTCGCCGAGTTTGACAAGAACCAGTCCAGTAGTAGCCTGGCCGCGGCCCCTTATGAGCGGTGTCCCGCACTTTGATTCCGAGGGATTGCGCCTGCAGATTTCACGCACCCGCCAAGCGACGGCCGAGAGGGCTGGAAGCTTGCGGGCGGCTTGTCAACCCTAGTCGGGGGGAGGAGACGAACTGTCCCTCGTTCAGAGTTGCTCGCTTTCGCGCTCGCCTTCGAACATGTCCAGCGAGACATGTTGCTTGTCACAGACCACGATCCTCTGGTCAAGGCTTGGGATAGCGGCCGGCAGTTCCAGAAGGATGGCATCAACCAAGGCTTATGGTCCAGGATCCGTATTGGGTTCCGATCTCGGGCCACCGAGGTGCACTTGACATGGGTCCCCTCTCACTTGCACGAGGCTCCCAGGAGAGAAGCCCAGGTGGAACCGAGTCTACTTCAGGGCAACGCCGCGGCCAACGAGGAGGCGGGTGCGGCGGCGCAGAGGGGGTGGGAAGAGGAGAGGGAGGAGGAGGAGGAGGAGGAGGAGGAGGAGGAGGAGGAGGAGGAGGAGGAGGAGGAGGAGGAGGAGGAGGGAGGAGAGGAGGAGGAGGAGGGAGGAGGAGGAGAGGAGAGAGGAGGAGGGGGAGGAGGAGGAGGAGGAGGAGGAGGAGGAGGAGGAGGAGGAGGAGGAGGGGAGAGGAGAAGAGGGGGAGCCGAGAGGAGGCGAGCCTCGCACGGACCGCTGGGATGCGGCGGCCACCCTGGTCCGTGCGCGAGAGCGCGCCGTGCCCTCGTGCCCTCGCCGCTGCCGCCGCCGACCCCTGGAGCGGGGCGCGGCAAGCGGCAGGGGCGGCGCCGCGCGCCGTCTGCCCCGAAGCTGATCTCGACAAGATTCATGGGCTTACGCCACACCGCCGACCCCTTGGGATATCTGGGAAGGCCTTGGGAGCGGGTTTGGGTGGCTCTGGGGCCGTCCAGGAGCGGGGGACAGCCCAAAAGGCGCACGTATGAAAAAATGTACGTTTTGCCACTGAGAGGTTCGCGCAGAGTTCCGTTCGTTGTGGGGCGAAGTGGAAGTGGAAGTGCAGCAGATGCCCCACGATTGTCCCGCGCGGCCGCCGCTGTTCGCGAATGCACCTAGGCGTCAGGCGAGTCTGCGGCGGGAGCGAATGCAGACCTCGCAGGCGGCCGCGCTACCCATCCCTCTCACACGCCTGAGAAGTATCTGCTCACGTGTTGGCGTCAAGGGGCATCAGCGGCCTTGCAACGCACCCCAGATGAGCGCGACTTCTCGGCGGGGCCTGTTTTGCCCGCCGAGGCGGGTGATGCGGCTGCGTCCTCTGCGAGGTCAGTGCACCCCCCTCCGTCTGGAAGGTCGTAGGCCAGCTTGCGCAGGTCTGGGGCGTTTGCCTGTTGCGACAGGTGGGTGCCCTGGCTCGGGCGGTCGTTTCGCTCCTCCGTTCTTTCCTCCCATCCCTTCCTCCCCTCTTCTCTCTCTCTCTCTCTCTCTCTCGCGCACGCCTCCGTGCTTGGTCAGACGGTCCTCTTCCTCCTCCTCTTGCTCTTCTTCTGTTTCTTAGTAATAGTTTGATCGTTGGTAGTATCACTAATACTTATATGAATAATCATGTGTATTCATATTATCCTCCTTCTTCTTCCTCCTCCTCATCCTCATCCTCCCCCTCTCGTCCTCACCAAAACGTTCCTGGACGGGTTTCTACATCGGCTGGGGGAACACACAATTCAATAGTTTGGCCGTTGATTGGCCCGAACTTTTTGGCCACATCGGCATTTCCGAAAAGGAAGGTGGCGGCGATGACTCGCCGTAGGCGTCTTCGATACATGGACGTCGCCGCCTCCCCGTTCCTCCGACCACCTCCTCATCCCGCTTTCTTCTCCTCCCACTCCTGTTCGTTATCATTCCCCTCCTCTGTAATTAAGCTTATCCCCCTCCTCCAACTCTCCTGTGCATCCTGCCCTGGACCCTCCCCCTCCTTCATCCATCCTCATTCGCCCTCGTCCGACCATCATGCCGCCCTCCTCCTCCTCCTCCTCCTCCTCCTCCTCCTCCTCCTCCGCCTCCTCCTCCTCCAACTCCTCTTCCTCCTCCTCCTCCTCCTCCTCCTCCTCCTCCTCCTCCGCCTCCTCCTCCTCCCAAACCTCGTCCTTGTCCTCCTCGTCCTCCTCCTTCTCATCCTCCTGGTCCTCCTCATCCTCCTCCTCATCCTCTTCCTCCTCCTCATCCTCCTGAGCCTCGTCCTCCTCGTTCCGCTCCGTCCCGCACTTACCCATGTTCCTAGTCGTCCCTGGCAACCTCCCCTTTTCCGTCCCTCTCTCCTCATCCGCACTCCTCCTCCACCCTCCTCATTCAACCGCCCTCCTCATCCACCATCCTGCCCTCAATTCCCCTTGTCCTCCCACATCCCCCTCCTTGTCCTCATCACAACAACCATCATCCCCACATTCATCCTCCTCCTCAACTCTCCTCTGGTGATGGTGACGGCCATGGTGATGGCCATGGCGGTGGTGCGATGACGGGCATGAAAACAATAGAGATGCCGACTCGGATGGCCAACGGCCATCCTCCTGCTGCACCACGGGTTCAAGTGCGATGCTGCCCTTCGCGCGAAATTTGCATCCTGGTTCCGGTCGTGTCGTACGCTGGATTTGCCATCTGTTCGTTAGGCACTGCTCTTTGGTTGTTGGTCTAGCTAGCTCGAGCACAAAGCTGACGCTGCCCGCGATCTACAACCAATATAAAACAAGACGACAGGCTACCAAACCTGACAAATCTTAACGTCTCACTGCAATCATACTGCATTTGCTACCGCCAGCTCACAGCCTGAAGTTCTCCTGGACAATATTCCGCAGCCTCTCGATCTCGCCCTTAATCTGGCCAGTGGTTGGGCGATCACCTGGAGAACTGCAACTTACAATCACTAGAGGACATAATACACCATGGATTGACTGTGCGCGTCTGGTCGCGACCACTAGAAGCATCCAACGTGCTACCCTGGTAAGAGCCACCTAGCGGCGGCCTTTTTCCCGAACCCCACATTTCAATGTTCTTGGGATTGCAACCCTTGTGAAACTGCGACGCCAGTGACTACTTGGCACAAGCATCGATGGATTAGTCTGCATCAGACGGGCGCATGAGGATTGCAGTTAGATCGCATGGCAACTCACTGACCAATGCTGACGCCGCACCGATGTGCCACTGGGCCAAGTCAAGAATCGATCAGATGGGCTCGGGCCAGCCGTTTCTGCATCCTGTCAAGAGCTCTTGGCGTTGAGCATCACAGAGAGGGAGGCCAAACATTGTCTGGAGATAGCAATGGACGTGGTTTGAGTGTTCGCCCGAAGGCTTCCGATCTGAATGGAACATGTGCAGCTATGAGGAATCACATATTCCCAGCGAGCCGAGACTTGAGAGAGAAGAGAGAGACGAGAGGTCAGAGAGAGAAGGAGAGAGATACGCATACAGGCAGAGAGAGAGAGATAGTGACAACAACAAGCAAGAGAGAGAGAGAGAGAGAGAAAGAGGGGGGCCTGGACTTTGAGCCCAGCAGGACTCCACCATGGTTAGCAGACCTCGGACATCCCTTTCCATGCATGTGGGAAGCATTCATCATGTTTTCCTTCGCCCGTGCATTGACATGGTATGGCGTCCTCTTCGGGAGGCCTCCAAAGCATGAGACCCTCCACACAGTCAAAACACTGGCACCAGATGCACTCGTTCCCCCTCGGCATGGGAAGAAGTGACTGTTCAAGGGAATCCAGAAAAGCGAAAGCGTCTGCTGAACAGTCCCAGCGCTGGCACAGTCAGAATGCCTTGCTTTATCGGTATTGGTATCGCTTCACCGACCACCCCCACGACGATACCCAGCCCGCCGACGGGCTGTCTAACAGTATTCCGACTGGAATTGCCGACACCAACCCCTTCATGATGTTCCACAACATGGGCCTGTCCCTAGGGAAAAAAAGCAAGTCCTGGGTGCAAGAGCTGGCGGAGCGCCAAGCGGGGTGGGGCAGGGGGGGTGCGGCCTTCTCGCAGGGCAGGAATGGCTCCCAGAGAAGAGATCGGAGGCCTCCGAGGGGCAGGAAGGCTGTCAAGAAGCCCCCGGCCTTCTCTGAAGGGGCCCTGGGACACACAAGTAAATACACACGAACAAAAAGGACCCCCCATAGCTTCTTAGATGTTCAGGGCTCTTGTCTTCCCCCCCACTTCCCCCATTTTCCCATCTTTTCCTGGGGATCGACGATGAATTGTGTCTGTGTGTGTTTTCCCCTCCTGATTCTCAGAGGCCGCCCCCCTCCGCCCCGCCACCCGTGCGCCGCCGCTCCACGGCTCACAGGCTGTCCCTCGAGGCAGACTGGCCGGCCGCGGGCACGAGGGGGAGACGCGCCCGAGAGGATGACTCCCCCCGGGGGCACCTCCGCAAGGCGCGGCCGCGCGACGTCGTCCCTGACGTCTCTTGGCGGTCACGTCTGGAACCTGCCCCCTGCACGTCAGTGCTGAGACACATGCCAGGGCACAGAACTGGGAGTGACTGCCTACCAGACCACCCCAACCCAACCCGAGGACCCCAATTTCGGGTTGGGGGGGGTACGGGTTCCATATGTGTTTTTTCAGTGTTCCCCGACCCCCCCAACTGGAAATGGAGGGCAAATTGAGGCCTTCGGGTTGGGTTGGGGTGGTTTGGTGGGTGGTGAGGAAGGGTGACAAGGGGGATGTCCGATCTCCCAGCGCCACGTAGACCCTCAGGGGCAAGTTCGCAAGTGGTCGCTGAATGGGGGCTTCGATGCCATGCATCCTTGTGCTCACATGACCGACTCGCTACTGAACCTTGGGGGAGAGCAACTTTGGTTGTCCCAACTCCCGCTGAGCCCCTGGCGGCAAGGCAACCTCCGCTTCTATTCCGCTGGCCTCCGCGGACCTTCCCCCGGATTCCGCCCAGGGCCTGCGGCAACTTCTCGACTCCTCGATGGCGAGCCCCTTTCTGGAACGCCCTGCATGCGAGCAGCGAAGCAGAATCTGCCTTGCGCACGACAACGCGGCGACCTCACGCGATGGTTTACTCGGGCCGCCGACGCGGCACACCGCGACCAAGCAAGGGTGCTTCCGCGGGCAACTTACGCGCGAATGTCCGCGTCGTCGAACCCGCTCGTCTGCATCGCTCGTGTGCTCCCGACGCTCCTGAGCGTAGCATGGGCAGCGCCGGCCTGGCCCGGGCCAGGGAGGAGGCCCGAGCGGGGCGCCCCGCGAGCCACCTCGACGCGGGGGGGCAGCGGCGGGACCCCGCTGGGCCCGAGCGGGGCAGCCGCGGACGCCCGGTCGGAGGGGCACCCCAGCGGCAGGCGGTCGCCACGGCCACAACGGCAGGTGGTCGTCATTCTCTTCCAGAGCACGCCAGATCTCTTCGACGCGGATCACGCGCGCGACCAGTGCGCCGCACTGCCGCACATCATGCTGTGAGGATGCCAGGCGCGCCCAACGCACGACCTGGGCAGCCGTCAACCCTCGTTACAAAGCCAACGCCGAGGGGAGGAGGAGGAGGAGGAGGAGGAGGAGGAGGAGGAGGAGGAGGAGGAGGAGGAGGAGTTGGAGGAGGAGGAGGAGGCGAAGGAGGAGGAGGAGGAGGCGGAGGAGGAGCTGGCGTCGGAGCCAGGGCCGCCCCGCGCCTCGGGGTCGCGCAGCGCCGCGCCCGCTCGGACGAAGAGCGGGCGCGGGCAGGTGCCACGACGGCAGCTCTGAGAGACACGCGGCGCAAAGCGGAGCTGCTGAAGGCGGGGTTCCGAGCCAGAGGCCTGTCGCTGCCCCATGCCGATCACTCTGGGATGTGATTGCAGAGGCCTTGCGGCAAGTCCCGCCGACTCTGGAAGGCACCACCAAAGACGGAAGAGGCGGGAGGGGTCGCCCACAGCCGCCCGTGAAGCATGAGCGTGCCGACGGTCTTGTGGTACTGCGACTTCAGCACCTGAATTGCGTTGCTGGGGAAGCCCGCCTTCCGCCATGTCCACTGAATACTTCCGCGAAGTCGACGGGAACGTCGCCGAAAAGCCGAAGAGCACGATGGCCGCATCCACCTGCTCCGGCGCTGCCACCGCCGCGGCGGGGGGGCAACAGCGGGCGCCCACCTTCAGCGGACAACGTCGGCGACGGCCCCGTTGTGCCTCCTGGGCGGCACACCCGTTTGTTGCCCAGTCCCTGACTACCTACCAGACCACCCCAACCCAACCCGAAGACCCGAATTTCGGGTTGGGGGGGGTAAGGGTTCCACATGTGCTTTTTCGATGTTTCCCGACCCCCCCCCCACTAGAAATCGAGGGCAAATCTGAGCCTTCGGGTTGGGTTGGGGTGGTTTGGTGGGTGGTGAGTCCCGTTGTCTTGACGACTGGCTGGCCGTTCTCGACGAGGTTCTTGAGGAACGCCTCGACGTCCTGCGCTCCCGACTCGCTGTCGCCCCCGCGGGACGCGCCATCGCGGCCTGCCGCCGCCTGGCGCACGCCCACGCGCCTCGAAGCGTGCGCCCCTCTGCGTGGATCTCCTTCTGCGACAGCCCGGCATGCTCGTCTGTTCTCCTCCTCCCTCCTCCTCCCTCCTCCTCCCTCCTCCTCCTCCTCCTCCTCCTCCTCCTCCTCCTCCTCCTCCTCCTCCTCCTCCTCCTCCTCCTCCTCCTCCTCCTCCTCCTGGGCGGCACACCCGTTTGCCGTGCTCGTTTGTTCTCGACGGTTGCTTTGCAGGACCGCCCCCGAACGCCTCGTGGAGAGCGGCGCGCGCCACGGCCCCCGCGGTGTGCTCCCAGTCTCCAGGCGGCGCCCACACTCAGCGGACAACGTCGGGCGATGGTCCTGTTGTGCCTCCTGGGCGGCACGCCCGTTTGCCGTGCTCGTCTGCTCTCGACGGCTGTTTTGCAGGACAGCCCCCGGACGACTCGTGGAGAGCGGCATGCGCCCACGGCCCCCGCGGTGTGCTCCCCGTCTCCAGGCGGCGACCGGCCTCCCGAAGGACGTGGACCCCCCAGGGGGGGCCGAGAGGCCTCCAAGCCTGGAAGGGGATGCCGTCGGGGCCCAGCCTTAGGTCGGGCGGATTCGAAGAGAAACGACAAAAACAAATTATTTGCTTATTATATATATATGGGTATATATATATATATATGTATATATTTGTTTCTTGTATAGAAAACGGCCAAAGAGCACGAAACATCGTCACCATGCTCTCTGTTTTCCCATTCTTGAACCTTTCTCCTGCAGAGGGGCGTGCCCGACTCCAGCCCAGCCTCGAGCTGCCCGCGATCCGCAGCGCCCGCTCGATGTCCGTGGAACGCAGCCGCCAACGCACCCCGTGGGACTCCCAGCCGCCGGCAGCCCGACTGCGCCGCCAAAGGCCCTCCAAGGCGCGAGCATCACCTCGTCGAGGGGTTTGAGCTGGAGGACGCGCCCCAGTGCTCCGCCAATGGCGCCGCGATGTCCTCCTCCCATTAACGGGCGAAGAACGGTGTAAAATCAACTTTTTCGCTGTCGGGGGCGCCTGTCCCAGGGCGGCTGGAAAGTTTATGTATACCCTTACGGTGGCACCGTGGGGGTATAAACTTTCCAGCCGCCCAGGGGCAGGTGTCTCCGACGGCGGAAAGGTCATGTTATACCGTTCTTCGCTCGCTGATCCCAGTTGACCACGTGGCCGGCGGAATCTTAGAGGACATGAGTGCCGGCGTCGGCTGTTTTCCTGAATACCCTCGTCCATCTTTGACTGATGGAGTTGCGCTGCACTTGCCTGCAGTGGTCATCATTGCGGTCGCGTGCGGGTCCTGCCCCGACGCGCGATCCCCCTCCCGAGCCTACTCCGAGCAGAAAGAGTCTACTCCTCCTCCTCCTCCTCCTCCTCCTCCTCCTCCTCCTCCTCCTCCTCCTCCTCCTCCTCCTCCTCCCCCTCCTCTCCTCCTCCTCCTCCCTCCTCCTCTCCTCCTCCCCCCTCCTCCCCCTCCTCCTCCTCTCCTCCTCCTCCTCCTCCTCCTCCTCCTCCCCTCCTCCTCCTCCTCCCTC